TTTACAGAAGAGTCAGTTCGTGGCTCTGCCTCTGGGTGGCAGTGTGTCGGGATTGACCTCTGAGGCTATAGGTCCTCTCTGACCAGGTGTTCTCTATTGTACCTGAAACTGGTTTGGGAAAGTCCTCCGCCCAGAGCTGGTTCCCCAGTCGTCACTCCCCGCTCTGTTTCCCAGGCTCCCCCAAAACAACCTTCCCTTACAGGCTCTGCAACTGACCCCAACTGGGTAATCCCATGCACTGGGTTCAACAGTCAAGCGCACAGATTTAAGAGGAAGTGTAAAGACAAGAGCCTGGGAAGTTGTGCGAACTCGCAAGGCTCCACCTTCCAGATCTGCGCAGAGTCTCTGTGTGCGCTCTGGCCCCTGGCACCAAGTAGCCAGCAGATTGACAAAATCTGAGGCTGCCCGTTTGCGTCCAGTCCAACTGTGGGCTTATTTATAGCTTTCCCTTCTGCCAGCAGCCCTGGGGGAGCCCTTCCACACTTGTGGGTCACGCTGGCCCCAACGGCTGCGGAATTTGTGGGGTGCAGAGTTCCCGCCCCCAACGGGCAATCCACTCTCCAACCTAAATTGCAAACCGCACCTTTGGGGGAAGTCTAACCTTTCTGTCGGGAGAAGCAGGGCTCCTCTGAGTTCACGGAGTGGCGATGCTTGAGAGCCATTGCTTCCGTGTTAGTAGCCAGTCTCTGGATGCCGGTAACAGCCACTCAAGATGGCGCGGTCTCCGTGGCTAAGCAAGTGCACCGGGAGAGGTTTCAGCCCCAGTCTCTAACCGTTCCCTTTGTCTAGGAGTTCTCTGTCTTTCCTGGCTGCAGACTGTCTCTCAGCTGAATCTCCTCTGCTTATTCCGGCTGTATGTTACCCGTTGCAGCTGCTCGCCCTTATCTGCTCTGGGACAAGGCACCGACATGTCCCTATAAACCTCTGCCATTTTTTTTCCTAATCTGCTATTTTCTAAAGGCATATGATGTTAAACATCTTTTCGGATGCTGATTTGTCATTTGTATATTTTCCTTGATGAGATGTCATTTCAGATCTGTTGCCCGATTTTTCAATTGGATTGTTTGTCTTCTGGTTGAGTTTTAAGAGCTTTTTGTATATTTTAGATAACAGTCTTTTATCAGCTATGTCTTTGCAGTCTGGGTCTTTTTTATTCTCTTGACAGTGTCTTTGGCAGAGAAAAAGGTTCTGCTTTTATTTTTTTATTTTTTAATATTTTACAAAGTAGAGGAAGGCAGGGAGGGAGGATTTATTCCCAGCAGGACATGATCAACAGGTACATGGGCAGTGGTATCAGGGACAGCAGGGGGGGAAGGGCATTCTGTGCTTCTGCCACAGGTGTCTTTCCAGGGTGGCCCGCAGGCGGAAGGGCACACGGCAGTGGGGGCACTCAAAGCAGGCACCGCCGGGCCCAGGACCGTGTATGCTGCGGTGGCGGCTAAGCTTGCTCCTCTGGGCACAGGCAAAGGAGCAGAGGTCGCAGGAATAGGGCCGCTCCCCGGTGTGTGAGCGCCGGTGCACAGTCAGGTTGCTGCTGTCGGTGAAACGTTTCCCACAGAACTCACAGCTCAGTGTCTTTGGAGTCTTCTTAGGCAACTTCTCTGGGATCTGGGCAGAGTTGATTCCCTCTTCCTTGATGGTGTTGCCCCAACTGTCCCCACCAGGACCAGCCTGAGCTCCAGCACCTGGAGCCCCAGGTTCCTGCACACCTGCTGTGTGGGCAGCTCCAGCCCCTTCAGGGCTGCACAGGAGAGTCCTGGCTGGGGCAGCATCATGGGCGGCTGGCTCTGGAGGCGCAGCTGAGGCCTGTTCCTGACTGGCCTTGGCCGTGTAGGGGCTCTGAGGTTGCAGCTGCCGGTGGTGAGGAAAGTGAGGAAGATTTTGCAACCACTTGTTATAAGACTGATCAGGCTTAAACATAAACTGAGGCAGAGAGATGGAAATGTAGATTTGGGAATTACTCAAGAGGCCTGAGAGGGAATGGGCTGGGCTAGCTGGGTGACGTGTGGCAAGTCACTCAAAACCCACTGTGCTTGGTTGTCCATTTGTAGAGTGAGCAGACCTCCACTATAAGCATCTGATGAGCTAATACTTGTAAGAGGCACTTGGCACCTTATAAGCCTTTTGTAAGAGCTAGGTCAAATCAATGTCGTTAAATAAAATATAAAATATTTCTGAGAGACTATTTTATTGATCACAATGAATGCATGAGGAAGGGATTTACAAAGTAGAGGTGGTTTAGGGGGTGGAGCATAAGAAAAAATACTATATATTATTTAATAATAATAACATGTATTTCATAAATGTTACATTAATTGAACCATGCAATATCTATTCTTTAGATATTAACTTTTCTCACTCAACATCGTTTCCTTGAGGTTCATCTAAATTGCTGCATGAATCAATTGTTCATTTTTTTTATTGCTGAGTAGTTTTTCATGATATGCCATACTGACCTTTTCAATCATAAACTTGTTAATTAAATAAAATTAAATTAACTTTGTGGAAAAAATTCTGTATTGTTGCTCATCCACATGACATGAATGAAAAATTTGACAGAGCATAAAATATGGAAGCAATTAATAAGAAGAATTGTGTGAGTGATGTCTCATTACCACTGAATGCTGGCTAGCAGCCAGAAGACTGATGTGGGTTTCAAAGCTTGACCTCATATGTGTGCTAGGGTTGGGGGCTTGTCACAGCATTTGAGGAGAATTCCTGTTGCTCCATATTCTCATCAGCATTTGGTGCTGGTACTATTCTGTATTTGGGCCACTGTAATAGATGCATAGTGTATCTTATAATTGTTTTAATTTGCTGTTTTCTTTTCTTTTTTTTTAAATTTGCTGTTTTCTAATGGCATATGATGTTAAGCATCTTTTCGTATGCATATCTGTAATTTGTATATTTTCCTTGATGAGATGTCATTTCAGATCTGTTGCCCGATTTTTTAATTGGATTGTTTGTCTTCTGGTTGAGTTTTAAGAGCTTTTTGTATATTTTAGATAACAGTCTTTTATCAGCTATGTCTTTGCAGTCTGGCCTTTTTTTATTCTCTTGACAGTGTCTTTGGCAGAGAAAAAGGTTCTGCTTTTATTTTTTTATTTTTTAATATTTTACAAAGTAGAGGAAGGCAGGGAGGGAGGATTTATTCCCAGCAGGACATGATCAACAGGTACATGGGCAGTGGTATCAGGGACAGCAGGGGGGGAAGGGCATTCTGTGCTTCTGCCACAGGTGTCTTTCCAGGGTGGCCCGCAGGCGGAAGGGCACACGGCA